AAAACGCTGTTTCTTTTCAAATATAATTCCCCGCTGGTCGGTAGTGGAAGGACGTGACGCAGTGTCACTTTTAGCAGAAGTGTGAGACAGATGTCTGCGGAGGGGGAAAGGTAATTTGGTCAATGGGAGAAGGCTTCAGTCGCAAAGATGTTTTAGAGCTGAATTTAACCAACGTCAAGGAATTGGCCAAGATGTGCTGGGTTTTGCAATATATCTCTAGGCGGTTTGGGATGTGCAAAAGTTAATCCAAGGCATCTGGTCCCGCTCAGCTGGAGCCAGGTTGCAGGCGTTGGGGGTTTTGTTGTTGTGGAATGGACTGAAGAAATGAGGGGGAACCTGCCTCCTTTCTGCTGTGGGTAATGCGTGCCCAGCCCGTTTGAGGTTATGTTCATGTCAGTACCAGAGCCAATCACAGATCAGAACTAGGAGCATTAGAATGAAAGATGGTGTTAAAATTGTGGACTGATGTATATTGGCACCTTCTTTTAAAATGAACGCGTGGCTTCCCAGAAGCGACGTGTATTTGGGTATGGGTCCGTAATGGGCCAAGTGACTCCTCAGGACGAGAAAGGAGCTGCCTGCACCCTTGCGCTGAGGTGTGTGTGCCTCGTATTTCTGCATAAACATCTCCAAATAAAGGAAAAAGCCAGCACTATTGACAAAGGCCAGCTCTATTTATATCTGCAGGAAGGCTGCGATAATGAAAAGACGCTTTAATGTGTCCCAAGGCCTAGATGAAACACTGAAAATGTTGCTTTTAAGAAAAAAATGATAATAATATCCCCTTGAAATCCCAACGAAATGTGTGTGACGGACTTCTTGAGAGCAATATCAAAGGAATGAAATAGGAGTTGCAGAGCGTAGGGAGTTACTGCAGTTATGGGCTTTGAATTGGTTTAAATCTTTGCTTTTAAGCTTTTTCTCTAAATATCTCTTTAAAAGTAACACTTTAATGAGAGGGAAAATGTTTTACTGCCGCTGAACTCTAGCAGCAGTGCAGATCTGTCAGACCTTACCTTATTTTGGAGTGTAAATCCTTCCTCTAGGGTTGCTCCTGCCGCCTGGCCCCTCTCAGAGGTGTCAGACGCCCGGGGGGACTGGGAAGGGCGGCGCGAATGTCTGCAGAGGAGCCCAGGTGGGGGAAAATGTTCTTTCAGCACAGGATTTGCAGCTTTATAGTTAGAAAGGAAAGAAATTTTCCTTTTCTTAAAGTCTTTTAGGGGCTTCTGGGTTTGAGGGTTTTTTTGAGGCAATTGGAAAATTGGATAAGGAAAATGTTCACCCAAAATACCGTCTTTCATTTCATCTCATTGAGTCTTGGACCAGCGTCAGTCAACTGCTGGTTTCGTGTCATTGAGCAGGTGTAAAATACGGCTCCCGGGGCGGAAAATGCCCCCGGGCACTTCTGAGAGGGTGCGCAGGTTGCAGAGCTCCTCTGGTGGCACTGTCCCTTTCACTCATGAGCCTCATCATAAATCATTATTTTGGCCTCGTTATTAATTTAGGGGAAGGGCTGCAAAGGGCAGCGCTAACCAAGCAGGACGCAGTGGACAGAGTCCATCATCCCCCTGGTCCCCGCTCCCAGGACTTCTGTGGATGTCCCGGACTCGCCAGCCAGGCTCTGGCTACTCCGAAACCAACACATGCCCAATGCATTTTATTTTAACCTTGCCCAGTCCATACCTGCTGTGTTCATTTCTGGATTGCGTTTTTGTCTACTTCTACTAGATCAGAATGCTATACTCGTTTAGTTAATTTGATAATAACAAGATATTCTGAAAATCCCACCTGGCAGAAGAAGAGGTGGGCAATGATCATATAGAAATGTACTGATTTGTATTAACCACATCATCCAAAAGAGTTAAATGAAGGGAGCAAACTATAAAGCTTAGGCTATTTGTTAAAGTTGAGAAGAGATTTGGGTTTAAGTTGTGGAATTTGGGGTTTTGAAGCGTGAATGATGATGTTCACCCTTTGCCCTTGGAGCAGGGAACGTGCTTTGTTTGGACCATTTGCAGCCCTGAGCGTGCTGTTGGCACTCACCAGATAACTGTTATTAGTAACAATGCACAGATGTATTGGCAATTGCTTTTAGGTAGTCAGGCCAGCTGGAAAGAGTATGAAAGAACTTACTAAACACAGATATTCCGGTGTGAGTTAGAAGATGAAAAGGAAAAGAAATTCTGGTTTATCTGTGTAATTAAAGGCACACTCTGCAGAGGAAAACAAGCAAAAGCATACGTAGTGCATGCACGATTTCTGAAGGCTAACCACTTTAGCTTGCTGGGAGATAAGAGAAAGAGTAAAGCTGTATTTTTACCTTCCTTTTGTCCCTTAGATGCCCATTTGCAAATACAAATGGGCAGGTGCGTTTGTATTATTTATGTTAAAAGAAGATGAAGGTTGTAAGGACGAGCACCTTGAAACTGGGATGCTCCAGAATTGCCTTTGCTCACGCAGCCTCTGCGCTGGCCAGCCAGGCTGCGCTGTTCCCTTTCTGCACAAGAAGAGCAGGCGGGTCAGCCGTGGGCAATGCTGTGCCTTGGGCTGTGGTATGTGCTGCCTGCGCTGCCTGCGCTGCCTGTGCTGCCTGTGCTGCCTGCGCTGCCTGCGCTGCCTGTGCTGCCTGG